AAATTAGTCAAAATCAATATAAAATCATCGAATAGAGAATGATTGGTTGATCATTATAATGCCAGTGACATCTACGACTAATCATGTATGAGCACTAACAGCTTAGAATATATGCGGGATTCCACTTATATAGGATAGAAATTATTGTAGTTGTGAACCAAAAAATACAATACTAAGTTAAAATTCACCCAGAGAAAGGTCTACTCATGGTTGTCAGTTGTGTCGAAATGGCTTCTGTTTGATCGCTAATAATACATAAAGCGAATTAGAGAGCTCATGAGAGGTTCGTCAAAATAAAAAATTTGACGAAAACTAGATTGAAAGACTCATAAAATAAAACGAACTGAATTAGAAGGCAATATCAAAGTAAGAAGCATTCTGTGCAATACCGGTAAAATGTGAACTTGATGAAGCTATTTAATTCGTAGATGAAAATTCACAGTGCATCTTTCATAGTCTATGATGAATATTGAAAATCATTCAATTGACCTATCTGACACGATTTATCAAAAAAGGCTATAGGAGATAGTTCATTTTTTCCGATTACTTCTTCAATACTCATGAATCCTCGTGTTTCAGACAACGTATAGAAAAAGTGTTCATGGGAGACTGGCTTAAATCCATCACTTCATTTAAAACACGACCGAATGAATCAACAATAAACAATGATGTACCAAGCATCAATTTTGAAGAATCGTCTGTAATCGAGACTGTAATACTATTGAGGAGGCTCACTCTATATCATTTGTTGAACGATATATTTTTTAATAGAGAGCTACTGCTCGCTTAACGAAGAATCAAGAAGTAAAAACTTCGATCAGAAGCAATGAAATAAATGTGAGTATTTTATTAACAAGATTTTCTACTTTTGTATGTTCTTTGGGACTAAATAGGATATTGATTGGCTCGCTCCAAGTTCATCTTCCAAAATAGAATGCCATGATGATAGAGCCAACCGATTTCCAATAGCAAATGTCTCTGGAATATCGCTCAACAAAACCTATGTAAGATATTGTAACATATGGTTACTTGTATACCTTTCATTTAGATAAAAGTAGTTCAAGTCTTTTGTGCTTACATGTTTTGAGACAATATCACGATCAAAACTTTCCGCAAGCATATCAGTCTTATTCGATGATTCTCTTTGTTTTTATTCTTGTAATCAAAGTATCTTTTATATTAGAAAAGTTTCATAAAATAGTTCGTTCAAAAAAAAAGAAACAATTTTCATCAGTAATAAGTGAATAATTGTTTCCAAAAAAGTCTCCGGATCAGTCAAAAGGTTTGTATAACATCTTTTCAATGTGCTCTCTCATCTGAACACTTATTTTTGGATTCAGTTTTTCCTATTAAATATCTCACAGAGCTCTGGCATTGAATACTGACACAGAGTAATCTTCGTATGAATGTGTATTTGATCAAATTCTTCTTGTGAATTTTGAAACATTAGATGGAAATTTTCGAATTCTAGTTAATCTCTTGAAGTTTCGATTTCGAATATTTGGCACTGAACGAAGTTGTGAAGGTGTGGATGAATGAATTTAACCAGTCATAATTAGGATTTCGGTCTTTATTAAGAGTATCTTCTGATGATATTGACTTTTAATTATTTGTGAATGATTCGAAGATTAAAAGTAAGACAGGTAACTCATCGATTTTACGATGAATTTCATATCATAATAATAACTAGTAATGAAATCATAAATAATTTCAAATGCTAATTATCAGTCATAAGTAAGTGTCATAAAGAATTACTAAAGTGAAACACAAATCAATTAGCACAAATATTTCTAATCATTGATTGGATTTTCGCTTTCACACAAATATATTATGATACTATTAGATTTCATTTTTTCTAGCATAGATAGTCTCAAAATTTTTGCATTGTTGAAAGGTTTAATATAGTCACTTTATTGTTGAGACTACTAAAAGTTGAAATAATACTCGTCTAACGAAATTTTATCCACATAATCCATTCTATTGCATTGTAAAATTTTCGTTATTAATAACCTTGGACCAAATAAGTGTATAGTGGTATCATTTTTTTTTTCAAATTTCAGAAGAATGATTGCTTCTCGTATAAGTAGAGTTATCAAATCGAAAGAAATCAATGTTGCTATTCAGCTGTTCTCTATATACTTTTGTTGACAGAAAAGGATTGTTTTGTACGAACAAGTATGTCTTCTTTTTTTATTAGCTAATTAAATTCATTCTCTTCCTAAACAAACATTCAAAGTTTGTTTTAATTTCTTTTCTTCAATAAAAAGAAAAATGAATAAAAATATAATCGTGTACATGTGTATTAGAAAAAAGTTTGACGAATTATATAACCAAAATAAATTTTATACTGTTTGATAAAAAAAAAAAAAGATAGTAATTAATAAATCTGACTGAATCTTTTAATCACATCAATATCTTGTAATACTATTAATTATTTCATGAAGATTAGTAAGTGATAGAGAATATCTTTATTTCACTTTTGAAGAATAATATGAGAAAAGAACGAGTAGTTACAGTGGAATAAATTTTCTTGTACATTGTTTTTCTATGCATTGAACATTTTTGAGAAAGTCTATAACAAAATACCTCATGAATAAATAACATTTACGTATGAATATCTTACCTATTCTTTGTGTCAGCTGGTAATAAATAATAAAAATTTCAGAGTAATACAAATAATTGATAATAAGGTAATAAGACATTACTTTCTATTTCTCTAATAAGAATCTATTTAATCTCTTAAATCATTAAAATAAAAAAACAAAGCCAATGATGATATAAATTATGAATAGGTATTACAAAGTACCGAGCAATACTAAGAAAAATTAATAGTAATTTAGCACCTCTACTGACCTAACCTCAAGCTCATATTCTACTCTTTTACTCACATACAATTCAGCCACATCCACATCTTCATACGTTCAGGCAGCGTTGATAAAATGGGAAAAAAAAATAATCAATAGAAAGAAGAACAAGTTGAGATATAATTCCAGAGTAATGAATAAAAAAACAAATGCAGCAAAAGAGACGATCGTTATACAATGCAAGAAAATGGGAGATATTTATCTGAAATAAATAAATTCAGTTTCAACTATTCAATCGAAATTATTTGCTAAATCAAATATGATTGGTCAAAACTGTAACAAATTTAATATTCACAAAGTCTAATGTTGCGATACTTGGATTAATTTAAATATAATATTAAATTATTTGATACCTTAATCTCAGTGAATCGGAATAAACATTCGAACAAAACTGTGATAAGTGCACTCGAAGAAAATCACTAGTAACCTTATCTATGCATAAGAGAAAGATCTTCATTCAACTCTTGTTTGTAGGATAATCTCTTTAAGAGAAAAGAACAATTAGCCCCGTCTATGGTAAGTTTATTAATGTTGACGATTGTTAATATACGAAGATTCGTATGCAGGACGCCAGTAACGTAATGCAGACAATCTCTACATCAATGACGAGTATTCTTACTACAGAATTGGAGATTCATGATAAAAAAATTTCTAGCTCTGAGTAAGATGAATATATTGTAATGTTCTGATGATTGACTGACAATTTAATTTTATTCTCAACAATACTAGACGTCCAACAACAGCAGCATTTAGGTTGCCGACTCAATATTATGAAATTCTACAGGACAAAGAATATACTGAATTCTTTCGACAAGATGCATTTTGTGAAAATCTCAAAGCCGCATTAATCGAACTGTTTTCGACACAGATTGAAATAATGGACGCCAGAAACAATCACACTGATAATAAGGTAGCCTATACTGTCGTGTTATCAGGATGTCAAGTACAGCAAGTAACACAAGCTTACGATGCACTTGAAATGTTATTGACGATGTGTTTGCAGAAGAAAGTCTTCGACAAAAATATAGGTAATAACCGATTGAAATATTTGTTTTCGTCACATGGCTCGTTAAATATCTGCTAGGTTTTTGGATTTGTAAATCAGAAGCATCTCAAATTATTCAAACATATGCTAATCGAAAGAACATTATTTGTCTGTGTAAAGCATCAGAAAGCATCGGACTCAATATTTATTATTTCACCTCAACTATGACTTCTCTAAAGTTGCTATGTACTACACAAGAAATTATTACCGATATTATCAATGAAAAATGTTTATCAACTATCATTACAGTTTCGAAAGACTTGGACGCTGCACTAACAAATAAATATATTTATGAACTTGAAAATTTTTCTTTACAGCCACTTTATAAAGATACTATACTGTTGGTCAACGAGGAAGATCATTTATTACTATTCGGTTTAGTCGATTCTGTGAAGAATTTTATTGCTGAACATGAAACAATGAAACAGACGTATCTTGTGGCTCAGACAAAACATGAATTAAAGAACTACCAAGTATGTCTTAATAATGAAAGAGATGGCTTCGAATAAGTTTAATTGAGCCACTTATAAAATAATTGTGAAATTTTATAATGCATTCAGTTTTAATGGACAGTCACTAGATAGAACGAAAAATAGTCGTTTTCAACCATTTATAGGACTCAAAAATGTATAGAGTGAGAGTCTGACTCTTGAAATGAGATGGATAAGCTTTTCTTTCGTTGAGCAGAGCTATATTTCTAGTGGGTGCAACTTGCTTGACATTCCTATAAATGAAAAATGAAACAAATAAGTAATGGCTGGTCAAAACAAAATTACATTATTCATGTTTGGAACTTTCTTCATGTAGACGGCCGCAAATTATTGTTCTGTTTTTCATCAATTAAGTGACTCTTTTCTCTAAAAAATTGGTCTGATCACTAAAAATGTAGCTCTCCAATGATATTTCATAAATCTTATAATAGAGTTTGAACGATATTATTTTAGATCGAGTTTTTACTCGGCCTTTTTCAAAATGAACTGAAACAATTAGAAGAACAAAATGAAAGCTTACGAATCTTTGAAAGTATTAAAAATGGATATTTCACTGGTCCTAGAAAGATGACCAGCACAATTAAAGAGGAACTTCATAGAATGGCTGCAAATAGTCGACAAAAACAATTTACAATTGAAGACATACGTTTTGGTTCCATAGCTACAAATGAAGAAAAACAGCTCATTGATATAGGTTTAACTCACAGTTGTCTTGTGCAAACGCAATTTAAGTCCATTCATGTAACCTATCCAGTTCCAATTTCATGTTTAGGCAAAGGTATTAATGAATTGATTCCGGCTGCTATGTCAATCGATATTCGAGTGGGTGATCTTGGAACTCAATCTGTCGACATGGTTGTTGTATGCTCAACATCGCAGAATCTTCTGAATGATATTCTTCAAAAGGCAGGAACTGAAGTAACAGATCAAGTTTATGCAGCATTGAAAAATGGCAAAATCACTCATAATGGTTATGAAACAGCAGGTGGACAATTACTTTGTCGGCGACTTTTTTTCCTACCTTGGACAACACAAAAGCTTCACAATATGACGTTAAGCCAAACAATACAAACATTTTTTACAACTGCCATTCAACATGCAGTAAATACTAAGAAAGCTTCGCTTGCATTTCCTGCTCTTGGTTGTGGTGAATTAAACTATGATCCTAATACTATTGCTGAAATAATACTTGATGAAACTCAAAGATATGCAAGTTATAATCTAAAAATACTGATTGTACTTCTTCCAGATAAGGATGCAAACTATCGAGCATTTTGTGTTAAACTTTCTGAATTACGTCAAAAAACATCAACAAATAATCCAAAGAATTTTTCCTATCCACATACAAGTAAGTATTTTGTAATAGTTTTTGTATTGAATCCATCAACTCAATTCTATCTATGATTCCAGCCATCAAAATGATGCTAACAGGATTAGAAGAAAAGGTAAATGAATGCTGCAAAGCTATGCAAGACCATGTCATCGAATGTGTTCTCACAGTGGACTGTGATGAATTTCCATTGCATACTTGGAATCAAGCCACGATTGATTCTTTCTATAGATATTGTTCTGAAAGACAAGTTCTACCTGAAGTCAACACGTCAAATGATAAATTCAAACTTTCAGGACCAAAAGAACAAGTCAAGGCAACACAAATAGAATTTTATCGACTGAAAAGCATCAAAGCTGAAGAGGAACGTATTGCATCTTATGCTCGCATTGCCGTCTGGTTGTTTGAAATCAGAAATGGAGTTTTTGAAAAATATTCACTCAAATTGAATGCACTAATTGAAACAGCATTCGCGAACAACAATGACTTGGTTCGTGTTTACCAATACGTTGCTTGCAGTTTTGTCATATTCTACTTTGTAGGTTCACTTTAAAAACGATAGCAACGAAGAATGCCAAATAAAACTCAAAGATAAAGTTGAAATCTGCGGTGATCGACAACGTCAAGTCATTCGAAGGGATTTTCATGTGCCTGTGAATTGGGCGAGTCAGTTCGATAATGTTTTACGTTATATACTAAATGTAAACGATAACGAGTACACAAAAGTGCTGGATCAATTCAACCAGACAATGTGGGGAAAATATACACAAATTCAAATTGAGCGCATCCAAAACCAAAGATGGTATATGGCTTATACGGCTTACAAGCATTTTTCTAAACAGGTGGAAACCGAAAGGTTGCTTTTTCACGGTTGCCCAGAGTCATCAGCGGATATGATCATTCATAGTTGTTTCAATCGATCATTTGCTGGTGTGAATGGTAAGTAAAGAAAATGTCTGGCTTGACAGATCTATACTGTTTAGTTTGTAGGTGTTGCCTTCGGAGTTGGTGTGTACTTTTCCACAGACGCCTTTTACAGTCATGATTACACTCATGAAAGTCCAACCACTAATCGACGTTGTATGTTTTTGGCAAAAGTGCTCGTGGGTAAATCGATACTAGGTAACAATAAGATGAAAACTCCACCTACTGGTTACGATTCAACAACAGACAACAATCACATATTTGTGACTTATCACGATGATCAAGCATATGCTGCGTATCTTATCATATACACGGCGTCTGCTGATTAAATTTAAGTTTTGAGTGTTGACTGAGTCTTATATTATAGCGAAATGAACAAAATGTGTCCGTATATGTCTATCTATCAATTATGTATTGTATTGGTGAATCCGACTATTTTGTGGGGTGTAGGGTGTGGGTGTGTATAGAAGCTCAATATTTTTTGGATTTAGATACATAAGCGAGAGACTTATGACCGGTTTCATCCTTGCTTAAGGGACTCGTCAGGTAAGTTTAGTATCTAAATTTTATTGCATATCGATCGAAATTCGAATTCGAAGAAGTTCTATAAGAGTTTTCGAGAAGAAGTCGAAAACTCTCAACAAACAGCCACCGACTTTTCGAACTAGGATCACATCTATTTTAAATCAACGAGGGTGTGGGTGTAGGTGTGGGTCGGGTGTGGGTGTGGGGGGGGTGTGGGGATGGGAGCGGGAGTGGGGGGGGGGGCGCCGTGGTCGGGGCCTTGGGGGG